TTAAGAGATTCAAGGAGTCCCTCCAAGCCTTGGTCCGTGCCGTCCAAGCCTAAGAAAAACCGGCCATTGAAGGAATTGAGTTGGAATATCCTTGCACGACTACTAAAATGCTGCTTACAATTGAAGATGCAAGTGTTCAAGCTCCAAACGGCGGGCTGAGCCGCAGTTAAGTACCCTCGCTGAGCCATACGGGTCAGTTTTTGAGAGTATTGAATAAAATTTCCAGAATTTCGTCCATTCGTTGTGGCAAATTCCCTTAGCTTGTGAAAGTTAAGTTGAACATCCTAGAGTTGATCCTAGGCTGTTCTTGACTTATCAATCAAGCACACACACTTGATTGTGGCGTCCTCTACCGTTAAATCTGTTCTTGAGTGGTCCAAGTTCGGGTTCAACTCTATCAAATCTTCATCGTGTTCCTCTAGATCCGAAGTAGCTTCCGCGTCTCGCATCAGTATACATTTTCACTATTAGATGCATGACACATAATCCAAATTTGAATTTGAAACTCAAATTTTGCATATGTCATATATTCAACCGTGATAGTGTATATACCGTCAATATATATAAAATTTACTCATTTTTTAATATGCTTTAAGGTTCTAGATAAGATACATAAATATAATATAAACTAGATATTAAAATGGCATTTTAAAAAAAAAATTTAAACATTTTTTTCATGTAACTAATTTAAATAATTCATTTACTATTATTATTACATTAAACGTAAATCCGTGCATAGCACGGTTTACAATACCAATTCTGCAGTAAGTTATAGTAGAATTTTATATAAACTCCGAAAATACACACCTGCAAACGTATTAATTTAACTACCCACCCCGAATCTATCTCCATTTTTTTAAAAATTATTTTCTGTCCGTTTCTTTTTGGATATGGACTTGTGCCTAACAAATCAAGCAACGTCAGAAAAGGAGCTTGACGAATCGGAGGATAAGAATGATTTTGTGAAGTATGAGATGGAAGTCATTAGTGGCTAAGAAAATCAAATACTCAACCCATATGGCTTCTATCTTTTTCTCCCGTTTTTTTCTCAACTTTAATTTTTGGCCACCAATTATCCATAATAATTGCTTCCTTTTTTTTTTAAATGATAATTGCTTCTGCCTATCTGAGTATGTTGCTCAATCTCCAATATTAAATCGGATGACTCAACTCCACCTGCCACCAGAAAAAGCTTAGACGTCAAAACCCAAAAGTCATAATTTCTGGATGGCATTTGTCATTCGTACTTTAACGAGTCAGCGCACAAACTATAGTCCTTGTGGATTACCATTTTTCGGAGTTTCTGTAAAAAAAAAATACATTAATAATTTAATATATGTGAAATAAAATAATAATTTAAAAATATATTTATAAAAAATATAAATTTTTTTTAGAGTAAAATAGCTTTTCAAACAAGGTTTTATTTCTAACTGGTGCTAATTGATGTCTTGAATAATTACCGTGGGTTGATTATTAATTTAACGAAATCCTAATGACGTTACTGAAATAAGATTAGGCCAGCCAAAACTTACAGATGTTTCTTTAGTTTTATTCATGTGCTTATCACACGATACCATTGACGACTGCTCAAAAAATTTATTCACATGCTTAATCATTTCGCGCCGAACTTGCGTATAATGTCCTGCTCCAGAGAATAGATTGGTTAGTGGCGGAGCCACGTGAGGCTGAAGATGGGCACTTGCCCCCTTCAACTTTACAAAATTAAAAATATAACCTTGAAACTATTTAAATTTTTTTTATGCTTTTATCGTAGTTGCATCCCCTCAATTTTGAAAACTATCCTTTTTCCTTTACATTGCCCTGTAAATTACAACAAATCCTCATTCTCCTTACATGGTCTCCCTAAACAACCAATTTCTTTCAAACAGTCTCTTTTACGGTACAAATATTTTAAAGCTACTGAATAAAATTGATTACTACTTGAATAAGAAATAACTTCAATACATTCACAACACAATAACCCCATAATTTTCTTTCCACAATAACATCATTTAGGTGTACAATATTGCTCCTGCTGGTCATAGGTCACGGCTCCCCTGCTGTGGTTTAAATGCGGAGGAATTAGAGATCTTGGTGTCCAATTCCCTGTCTGCTCCACACTTCTTAAATTTCATTTATCGCTAGATGAAAAAATTTTAAAAAATGTGCACGTTGTTGTCGAATGAAATAAACGAACATTAGTAATCAAATACAAGTTCCAATCTCAGAACACAAACTTAATTTAAAGTTTCTAGCGTTTAATTTGTTATTTTATCACATATTATGATGTATCACGTGTAAGTGCCCTTGCACTCAATACGACTTATATATTGTCGTTCTCCATTTTCACATTGTTAGGTGTTTTGAGCTCTTAATAGCGGACGTATGTCATTTTTTGATAGGTTTTTTTTTTTTGGGAAAATTGTTGATTGCATAAAAATATGTTCTTTAATTATTATTTTTTATTTTTTAAATACCTTATTATTTTACATATATCATATCACAAAAGTACTATAATATTATTTTAATTTTTTTAAAAAATAGTCTTCAGTTCAGACACACTTGTTCTTTCAATAAAGAAATTTAATTCCTTATTAACAGATTTTGCTCTGTAATATGTGGTTGCGTGTTGCCTTTGACTGTACCTTCGAAATCAGGGCATTCATTGGGATTATCTATTACCTTAAAAATGTAAACTGACATGTGAAATCATGACTTATTTTTGGGATGATAACTAAAAGGATGAATGAATTTTTCTTTAATACATTTTTATTTTTTTATCTCACACAAATCACATTATATAAAATACACATAATAGTAGAAAAACTTTCTGAAATACATGATGCAAGCCGGTTCATGTTTTTTTTCAAAATTTCCAAAATGTGATATCTATGCAATTTACTTGTCCGAAATGGCTCCGGGCGATTATTTATTCTGCACTAATGATTCAAACCAAAATTTGTCAAATTTTTTTAACATCATGGGAAAATAAACTATGCAGAGGCTAGAATCAGCAATTAAGTCTGAATATTGGCTGGAGTAGGTTTCCAGTCGACTCCTGGAAGCTTCTCTAGTTTTTACCTAAAGAAAAAAAATAGAACGGGGGTAATTCCTCCAAAAGAAGCTCCAACAGTCTATTCAGGAAGAACTGAAATGAAGGAGGTAAATATTTTCTCAATGAGTTTGAGTGAATAAGGTATCCCAAAAAAGATTCTTTACCATTAGTAGGATTTAATATTTATACCATTTCCATTATGGTTGATGTACACCCGTTGCTTTAAGTGTCAAGCAGGTGACACTTTTTTTTTTCTCGCAATGATAACATTCGTATAATTTAATTTATTATATAGTGTTAGCAGGTATGTAGATTTGACTAAATCAAATAAGTACTCTAACACTTCTTTTAAATCTTTTTCACTGTTTGTGAGATTTGAATCCCTTGACCTACCATCCAAAAAAGAACTTAGTCGATTTTTGGGAGCCACTGAGGCAAAGCTCAGTGACTGTTAACAAGAGACGCCCTCCACTACTTTTTACCCTCTTCAAACTACAAAACGGCCTAGAGTTTGCACTTGTCCTTCACTATTTTTCACCCACTTGAGAAAAAGGGGCGAAGTGGAGTACATTGTACACTTCACGAATTAAAGTTCATTCCCGGTGGACTTTACCTAAGCGCATATCCACGCAAAATGACATGAAAAAATTGTATCATAGAAACTAAAATCAGTACGCTAGCTAAAACAGGAAAGTGCTCAGTATTACAATTTGGTCATTAGCCAACAACAATTGTATTGTTTTCCAATGAGAGCTCAGCCCGACCTGGACTCCACATTTGTAAAAACGTATTATTAGTGGAGTGCCTTTTTCTTCAACATCCTAGGTCCATAACAGTAATCCCAGTTTTTTTATGTTGAAAATGCCACACATAAATCTATCTTCAATGGAAAAATTATTTTGGTTTTATGACTGTTCAAGTCTCTTGCCATCATTAACCAGTAACATGCCATAAATATTAAATTAAAGACTTATAATTTTTTTTTGAATTAATATTTTCTAAACCGACATTGTATATATTGTCAGCGTTGGATGAATGACAACTATACAAAATTTGAATTTAAAATTCAATTTTTGCACATGTGTCATGGATCCAATGATGATAGTGTATGCACCGTCAGTATATATAAGTTTTACTCTTTTTTTTTAGGCAATGACTTACAAAGTTCACGTACTAATATAAGGCCAGTGCAAAAAAAAAAAAAAAAGCGTATATGTCGTAGTAGTTAACTTTATAAGTTTTAGACTTTTAGTATATACTCCCTCCATCCCACTTTGATAGTCCTGTTTCTTTTTTCACATAGTTTAAGAAAAAGTAGTTAACTTTGTTAGAAAAGTAAATTTAGATTGCTATTTTCCTCAAATACCCTCACATTAAATAGAGTACAACTTTATGGGAACTTGAATTGATGGTAAAAAAAGAATCAACTCTCATTAAATGGGGTAGGTTTATAGTAACAACAGTTTACATTGAATAAGGGTATTTTAGGAAAATTAAAATACAACTACATTCTTCAATTGGAAAGTGGACTACAATTTGGGACAGATGAAAAAGGAAAACAGGACTATCAAAGTGGGATGTAGGAGTATAAATTTTAAGGAAAACAGGACTATCAAAGTAGGACGGAGGGAGTATAAATTTTATTTTGGCGCCAACCTTTTATATATGAGCACGTACCGTCCTGGAATCCAAAAAGCCTGCTTCAATTGAACATTTGCGTAAATGCATCAACGTTGTTGCATCAAAGTTGTTGCATACGGTGGAGACCGTAGGTTTGACGTGTTTAAACTTTAAAAGGATATTCCTTCGTGAGAAGAATCTATATCCACATCTATATCTATATATACATATATATATATATGCATGATTGCGAGAAAAACCATTCAAATACTCATCACTGCCTCTGATATGTCCATTTTTAATATCAGTAATACAGGAACAAAGAACAGATAAAAACAGGATATTTCGTGGTAGAACTAGGTAATGGAGTTGTTCAAGCAAGCAAAACCATACTTAGCAGTCATATTCATGCAGTTTGGCTATGCAGGTTCCGCTATTATTTCCAAGTCTGCTCTAAACAAAGGAATGAGCCACTATGCATTTGCTATTTATAGAAACCTCTTTGCTGCAGCTGTATTTGCTCCTTTTGCCGTTGTCTTAGAGAGGTTCGTAGTCTTTAATCTTTCTCTTCACTCCCTGTCTTGATAAGAATTTTTTGGCTTTCATCCAAAACAATAATGAGATTCAACAGGAAAGTGAGGCCAAGAATGACGATCTCTGTTCTATGGAAGATAATATTACTGGGATTGTTGGAGTAAGCTTGCTAATATATCAAGTAGTACTACTATCACCTGTCTATCATAATTTTGTTTTCAAATCCAACTAACTGGTAAACTTTGGATCTACAGGCCCGTTATTGACCAGAACTTGTACTATGCAGCAATGAAATACACAACAGCAACATTTGCCGTCTCCATGACAAACATGCTTCCCGCCCTGACCTTTTTATTGGCTTGGATTTTAAGGTTCCACTGGATTATCTTTTTGTGTGTATCTGTAGGGATATCTTTCCATCAACTTACATCTAATATACAGTTTCAGATATATTCGAGATTTATATTCATTGCTACCATACCAACTGTTTCAATCCTTATTGTACTGTAGGCTTGAGGAGGTGAGCACAAGAAGACTACACTTTTTCCGATGACTGAGAAACTCAGACTTTTTCGTTACTAAAGTTGACCTGCGAGAAGACTACACAGCCAGATAAAAATTGCTGGAACAATAATCACTGTTGGGGGAGCTATGATCATGACCCTGGTCAGAGGGCCCGCCATTAATTTGCCGTGGACCAGAGCCGATGCAAACGTCCAATCTCCAGCTGCTGCGAACCCACAGGATCCCATCAAAGGGGCTCTCATGATATCAGCAGGTTGCTTTTGTTGGGCTAGCTTTCACATCCTTCAGGTAAGAGTAAGATGCATTTTACGGTGTCCGCGTATAAATAGACAAGAATTGTACCGTTGAGAGAAAATTAATTCATATTAAGGTCTCGCTGGGGACCAGCAATGTATACCTTTATACAATACTTTGAACGGAGTCTGTTTTCCATGAGATGAAAATTGGTCTGGACTGACCACCGGTCATGACTTCGGTCCAGTTCACTGATAAATTCAGAAAATCAATTGAATTAGTCGAATTGAATCAAGAATTGGTCGAATTGATGATAATCAATAAAAAATCGGATTCTTCAACCAGTTCATGCTAAATTCTCTCTCTCTCTCAAGTATTGAGTCATCCAATTTATGTAATAAATAAAAGAATAAAAAAAGAAAAAAATTTGAACTGGATTGAACTAAATTCATCTGACTGACTTAATCGTTTGAGTTTAAAATCATTGATGAAAACATTTCCAATTTCATTGGAAAAAGAAACATGCCATTCCTTTCACCCTTCTTCCTTAATATTTGGAGTCTACCCTTAAAAAAAAGCGCAATTTCACGAAGCCTTGATATAAAGACTGCCTTGTCCACTCCTTCCCGCCTCCATCGATTTAAGTTCTTGCCACATCTTACATTGATTAACGGTTTTGCTACTAAATTTGTCTAGGCCATGACAGTGAAATCATACCCTGCTTGCCTCTCACTCACGAGTATGATATGCACGGCAGGAGCTCTTCAGGGCACTATAGTAACCTTAGTTGCCGAAAGGGGCAATCCCAGCGTCTGGTCTATCCATTTTGACACTATCCTCTTGTCTTATGTTTACTCTGTAAGATGATTATTTTTTCTAATCTACAATAATTCTTTATTTCGTCTAAGTTGAAAATTGATGCTTCTTACTGAATTTCTTTGTTACGCATTTCAGGGAGTGGTCACTTCAGGAGTTGGTTATTGTATTTCTGGAATCATAATGAGGGCTAAAGGGCCTGTTTTTGTCACTGCATTTAGTCCTCTAAGCATGGTTATTGTGGCTTTCATGAGCACATTCATTTTAGCTGAGCGATTAACTTTCGGAAGGTTGACAACTTGAAACCCGTCCTATGTCTTCAAATAAGCAAAATTTAGGTGCATTATCTAATGGAATCGCACGTATATTTGCTTCTTGTAGGGTTTTTGGTGCCATTAGCATCGTAACAGGGCTATACTTGGTGATATGGGGCAAGTGCAAGGACCAAATTTCACCATCTAAATCGACCAATGTTGATGAGACAGACCCCATTGATGAACAATTACCCGACAAAAATCTCACAACAAAATCCTCAAATGATGAGAAAAATGATGCAACCAAAGGAGATATTGCTGGAGGAGACAATGCTGTATGATATGCAGAGCAATATAAATAAAGTTAGGCAAGTGATGAATAAATTAATGCTGGGAATTTGGAACAAGGATTAAGTGTAGCAAACGAAGGGGAATATTCTTCTACAATATTTTTAATCTAGCTGATTTGGAGCTTGTACTTAATTGCAATTCCGTCCTTTGTTAATACTTTCGTATTGGCTTCAAAAAGAAGAGGGAGCATTAGTACACAAGCGTAAATCACTGTTATCGTGCTTGAGCTAGCTTTTTCTTTTCTTTTCTTTCTTTTTTGGTAAACAAAAATTTGTGTGAGTTTCGATCCCTGTCGCCGTTATATGCGGTGTAGAATATACCACCGGAACCATAAGTCGATTACATTGGGCTTGTGTTTAGCCCATTTGTTGGGCCAAATCACAAACCCAAAGCCCACACATTTAAGTAGGTCAAATTGACCAAATGATTTCCAAGTCTCATGACTTGATGGTTTCAACTGTGAAATAAGTTAAAAGCTTCAGCCGCCAACCTTGTGTGAAATGAGGAGAGAGAAAAAAGAGTGTTTGGGAGAAAAAGAAGCTAGAGAGAGAAAGAGAAGTTTGTAGCTTCAAAACTAGGGTCCCATTTGGCACGTGAATTTTTTAGATATGTATTTAAAACTTTACTGTAATTTACTACAGAAGTTTTTTAAAAAAATTTTGAAGTGTGTAAATTTTTGAATATTTTCAAGTATATAGTTTAAAAATTTTGAAAAACTTTTTGAGATTACTGTAGTTAAAGTTTTTAAAAAACTTGTAGCAGACAAACTTGGCAAAAAACTTGCCTGCCAAACAAGGCCAAGTTGATTGGATGGTGATTTGAAACCTGATTGAAACCAAAATTTAACCATGCGATCCTCTCGTCAAACTCTACCTATCTACTCATCCCGATTTTAGATTCCTCTTTACTCAGTAACACTCCTTCCAAACCCATTTTTTTGACCATTATAGTTTTTGGGAGATAAATTTATAGCAATTTCACTTGATTGATGTTAATGATGTTGTTGTCATCCGAATCTTCTGAGTAGACTTGTATAATTCGGATGTTCTGAGATTTTAACTGGACTAGGTTCCGTGATTTTTCTCAATTTGGATTTTTCATGTTAAAAATCTTGGTATCTTGTGCCTTTTACTTTTCTGCATTTTATTATTTTTGTTGATATCATTGCTTGGTGTTTTGGTTTGTTCCTATTTTAATTGGTACTTGAAAAAAGTGTAGTTTAATCTGGATTAATTCTGATATTGTGTGCACGCACTGGTACCCTTTTTCCAAGTGCTCATTTGTGCTAGTTAAAATAGATGACTCAGATAGTGATTGTATGATAAAATTGAATGTAACTAATTTTTCGATTTGAAAGTTTAGAATGAAAAATTACTTGTATTGTAGAGATTTGTTTGAACTTGTTTTATGGGATAATAGTAGACCAAGTGATATGAGTTATGAAAAATAGGTTGTTATGCACAAAAAAACTACTGAAAATTTAAAAAGTAGATTGGTTAGAGTATTTTCCAACACTTTGCTAATGAAACTATAGGTGATGTACTGTGAAAAAAGTTAGAAAGTATGTAATGTGAAGAAAGCTAGAAAGTATGTAAGAAAGGTAAACTGGTTTAAATAAGGCCTTTTGTCCGAAGCAAATTACTCGTATGAGATATAAAGATGGTGTAGATATGATTGAATACTTGAGTAATTTTCAGGGCTTGATAAATCAAGCAGCTATGTTGAATTTGAAGTTGGATGATGAGGTGTAGGCTTTGTTGTTGTTCAGTTCGCTGTTAGATAATTGGGAGACAATGATGGATTTTGTTAGTAATTCAATTTCAAATCATGTGTTGACCATGGATATAACAAAAGAGATTGTAATGAATGAAGAGTTTAGGAGGAATGAACAAAAAGTTGTAAATGAATCCTAGACCCTCATGACAGAAAAGAAAAAAGAAAGGGGGAGAAGCAAAAGTGGAGGACTCCATAACAAGAATGACAAATCTAGAGGTAAGTCTGAGTCGTAGAAAAATGATGCATGCTACTATTGCAAAAAGAAGGGGGCATTACATGAAGGAGTGCGGAATCTTGAAACGAGAACAATGAGACGAAAAGGAGACTATAGTAGTTGTGACAGTCCATGATGACATGTTCATGTTCTTGATGATGGTTATGTGAATTACCTATCATGTCAGTGATTGAGTAGTTGACTTGGGTGCATTCTACCATGTTACCCCTCATAGGCATCTCTTTTCAACCTACACTGAAGGAGACTCTAACTATGTTAGGATGGAAAATGATGTCTCATGCAAAATTGTTGGCATGATACACATATATTTGGACACATATATTAGGTGCCAGCTAGACTTGAGAAATGCTCAACATGTTCTTATTATTCGTCATAATCTTGTTTCCACAGGAATGCTTGATGATAAGGGTTATCAAAACTTGCAAGGTGAAGGCAAATGGAAGCACAGTAAAGGGAATCTTATTATTGCCAGAGGAAAGAAGTAGAGTACCCTTTACTTGATGCAAGCCAAATTGGGGAAGGAAGATGTGAATGCAGTTCATGATTCCTCCCTTTAGACATTTGTTCGCAAGCAGTTCCTACTTGACTTTAGAGGTAATGCACTTAAATTTTGTGTTAACTGCATTTATGAGAAACAATACAAAGTTGCATTTCAAAATATTTCTCCATCTAGAAAATTGAATCCATTAGAGTTAGTGCACACTGATGTTTGCTATATGAAAGATAAGTTTATTGATGGTGTTGTTTACTTTGTAACTTTTATTGATGACTTTGTTAGAAAAGTTTAGTGTTTTGCTTTGAAATCTAAAGATCAAGTTTTGGAGGTGTTTGAAGACTTTCATAGCAAAGTTAACAGAGAGATTGGCAAGTAGCTAAAATGTGCTCGTACTGACAATGATGGTGAGTACAGGAGATCATTTGAAAGTTACTGCAAGTCCCATGGGATTAGACTAGAGAAGACAATATGAAAAACTCTTCAAGAGAATTGAATAGCAGAGAGGATGAATAGATCCATCACTGAGTAGGTTAGATGTATGCTCTCTAATGTTAATGATGCGAAGGAGGATAGCGAGCAAACCGTGCAAATCGAACAAGTGAAGGTCCCTCTCGGCCCTGTCACACGAACGCGTGCCAAGGGAATGAAGGAAGCGCTCCAACTCCTAGTCCAGGCTATCCAAGCCCAAGTTGGGAGGCCGCGGACCATAGAAGGCCTTGCATGTGAGGATGAAAGACAAATCACCTTGGTGGAGGCCTTGGACGATGAAGAGGGCCTTGCTTGAAGGCCACGACACCTCTTGGAGTATCGTGATCAATCATATAGTTATTAGAGTTTTTTTCATATTTCGTTGGTAGTATTAGTTTAGAACAATAAAGCTCATGTTGAGCCTTGGACCGAGTAGAAGGCTCTTTGGAAGCCCATTTGGCCGACCTTAGCTAGGAGCACGGGCCTAGCCCTTTGTGGATTTTCGGCCATCTAGTAGTATTATTATAAGTAGGGCAATTATTGGTAATTGGGGACAGATTTCGTTTAATACAAAACTTGAGAGTTCTCTCATTGGCTTCTTGTGAGCTTTTCTTGAAGTTCTTAGATTAATTCCCTAGGATCTTCAAGTTGACTTATCAATCTAGAATCACACTAGATTGTGGCGTCTTCTACACCATACCAAGTGTAGACACCAAATTTTTGATTTTAAACTTTATTTAATTAATTAATTTAATTTTAGCTTTATTTGTTTCAATTTTAGGTTTATTTTACTTTATTTTATTTTATTTTGCCTTCATACTAAATTTTAAAAGAAAAAGAAGAAAAAAAGAAAAAGGAAAAAACAATAAAAATGGCAAGTGGGGGGCATGCATTGGGACAAGTGTCCCTTTGTATTTTGGACAACACAACACCTAAGGGATTAGGTGTCTAAACACTTGGTGGCTTAAGGAATTTTTAGAAAAAGAAAAATCAAAAAAGAAAAGGATTGGGAAATGAATGGCGCGGCTGGAACAAGGGAGAAGAAAAAGCAAGCTACGTGAGAGCTAAGAGAAACGGGGAGAAAAAAATCTAAAAAAGGGGCTGAGGGTTTTTCATCAGGAGGGCAAAGAGGGAAGAAACGGCGGCTAGGGTTCTCGGAAGGGAGCTTCGAGGGACGGCTAGGGTTTTTGGACAGAGTTGGGATCCGAGAGAGGGGAGAGAATAGAGTGAACGGGCTGAGACCACAAACAAGGAGGGTGAAGGCTAAAGAGGGTTTTAGGCTCTGGCGGCTGGAGAGGAAAGGAAAGCAGAGGACCGGAGACGAAAAAGCCAGAAACAGAGAAAAGGGAACAAATGGGTGACGACGCAGAAAGAAACACAGCGGGAAGCTGAGAAAAATGAAGGAGTTTCAGGCTCGGAAAAGAAAAGAAGAGAGAAAGGGAGGATCTGAGAAAAAACAAAGGAAATCTGCAAAAATTTTGAGAAAGACTTCGAAGCTGAGAACGGGAGGAGGAGGATCGCTCGACAAATCAGCCATTTCTGCAACAAAAATGTCCGAGCGTGTTTTCTTGGAACCCTTATGCGTATCTAGGCAGACTTCAAGGTCAATCAAACGTGCTAACATTTTCAGGTAAAGATGTTTTCTTATTTTGTGGATTTTAACATGTTTTCACAAAAGATGAAGCCATCGGATGTCATTTTTCTGATGTTTGCTACTAGTTCAAGCTCTCGCTGATTCTGTGATTCTGCCATGTTGCTCATTTGCTAAGATATGTTTCAGTAGGAGTCTATAAGATGGGTATGATCAAGAACAAGGGTTTAGAGTTTTTTTATAGTAGTCACCCGATGAATCCATGAGTTTCTGCTCAATGTTTACAATCAGTCTTTGCGAATTTGAATAGGCAAACCCAGAAAAATGGCTTAAAATTGCAGACAGGTCTGTTTTGATGTTTCTTTGGCTGTTGCTTCTTTGTTTCTTGTTGTTTGTGTTTGGGTTTCAATGTTAAACAAAGTAAATGGTAAGTTTTGGCTGTCTGCTTGGAGTTTGATTCTTTGGATACGCATGTTTGATAATAAAATGGGTGGAAATCTTGTTGAACGAATCTGGTTTATTGTCATGGTTCGGCAATTGTATGCATTTGCTGAAATTTGTGAGCATGATTG